ATTATGTTATTCACTTCCGAGTGTTCCTGATTGTTTACTAGTTTTGCGATTGCATCCCTTCTAGCCGTGAGGCCGTTTGTGCACATTTCACTTCATGCTCATTTGTTTGCGTAACCCCTGTCGGGGGTACTTTGCAACGTGATATGGCCGTTGGCGGAAATAATGTTCTTATCCTTCGACCTGGCTACAATCTCCCACGTATTGTTGTCTTTTAGTGAAGCGATTTCCTCATCCATGGCCTGTTTCCAGTTATTTGCCCCCTAGCCTGACACGCTGTACAATTGCTGTCGTGTGGCACTTTGGGGGCAAAGTAATCCACAAAACTCCTTACACGGACGCGGAGTTAAGACTGGGTCTTCCGTACCCGGCCTAATGACCGATAAGAGAAGGCGTTGGTTTACCCACGTTCGGACCCCTCGTAGGTGTTCCGTCGGGGGGTGGGTACTAAATTTCTTGTGTATGCCAGACCTGGCGAGGAAACATATCTGCGCCACTTTCGCGGTGGCCAGATTTGCAATAAATGTTTCCAGTTATTCTTATTAAAACCTGATAGTGCCTGATTCTTGTTCTGTAGTTCACTATCTGTGTTTACAACCATATGTGTAACTACATACCGATCTGGTAGAACCCCTCTATTTGACCTTTCAGACCATCTATATGGTCCAGGATTTGCTTCCTCATCCACCGATTCTATCCTACAATCAGGGTCTAGCATTATGGAAAGAATCACTTTCGTCCGTGCATGATTCTTCTTGTGATGTATCTTCAGCTGCAGCATTTTCAATGATGTTTTGATCAGTGTCCTGGCTCTTCTGTTTTCTTCCACTCGAGAATGTAACTTCTTCATCTACCATAGTAGCTACTTTATTGACATAATTTTTGTCAAGGAATATCACGTCGCGGCTAACCTTTATTCGATTTGTTTGAGTATTTAACAATCGAAAAGCCTTCGACTCTTCTGAATACCCGACAAAAATAAGCTTCTCCGCTTTATCATCCAGTTTCTTTCTCTGCTCCTTATGTATAAATGTATAGGCATCACAGCCAAAAATATGCAGATTTTTTGCATCTGGGCGTTTAGAATACCATAACTCATATGGAGTTTTACCGATTGCTTTTGTTAGCAACAAATTCTGCAAATAGTTTGCAGTGTTTACTGCTTCACCCCAATATTTTTTATCCAGATTTGCGTCTAGCAGCATACACTTAGCCATTTCAAGTGGCGATCTATTTTTTCTTTCCGCAACTCCGTTTTTCTGTGGGCAATAAGGAGCTGTGTGTTGAATACATATCCCTTCCTGTTTTAAATAACTCTGCAACCCTTCGTTTACGTATTCACCTCCTCGATCTGATCTTATCGTACTTCTTTTGAAATTGAGTTTTCATTAATTTTATAAATTCTTTAAAATGCGAAACGATGCTTCGTTTTTGTACCGTAAAAGATAAATCCTTGTGTATCGTGAAAAATCATCAATAATTGTTAGACTGTATCTACTGTTACCGGGTGTTACCGCTTGCATCGGACCACAAACATCCGTATGTAGTTGACCATTTTTTATAATGTTGCAGTTCTTGTCTTCGAAAGTAACCTTATAACCCTCATTCACGAATTTTTTTTTACCGACAAAAGATTGGATCCAAAAGTTGGAACATAAAGCACGTCACTTATTTTCATTTCAGTGATTGCATCTGCACCTGCTGCACACTTAATGGCACCTGAGCCGATTCCTTTGATCTCGGCGATCTTTCCCTTATCCGCAAGACATACGTGATCCTGTTTTTCTTCATTGAAGTGATCGAAAAATTCTCTCGAGGACACCATATGGCTTGTTGCATCTGAATCAGCAATCCATGGCTTAGTTTTATTAATTTTGTTTGTATGAAGACACGTTTCTTCAGAAATTTTATCCGAATGGATTGCATAAAAACAATAATCATCTGAAGATTTTTCTTCTGCCACATGGTTTGCTTTTTCCCTTTTGTTTTTCCACGATTTGTACTTTAAACATTCGCTTCTAAAATGCCCAGACTTTCTACAAAAATAGCACGTTTTCTTTGGTTGCACACCGCATTTGTTTTTGAATTCTGCTTTCATTGCCGATTGATCATGTTGTAGGCTATCCCTTGCGTCTTTGGCCCCTTTACGCCTTTTGTATTCGTCTATCAATTTTCCTTTTACGAGATTTAGTGTAAAGTCATTTTCGGGTCTGCTTTCTGAAGCAGTCGCAAGTGTTTCGTACGATTCTGGGAAGCTACCAAGAAACATGGCTGCCATCAGATTACCTGTACGACATAATCGCTTTAACAAAAGTACCTTGCTTGTTAAAGTTGCCTTCTGGTGATAACCTTTGAGAGCATCCCATGCATCGCGTGAACTTTTCGCATTCCTAATATGCTGTAATTGGTTATCCTTCACCAATAAACCAATTGTGCTTCGTCGTCCTTCCGCGACCATGCTGTTGTCACTGATTCGGGCTTTTCGTACTTAATAACGTCCCATAATTTTTCTTTAATCAACAAGAGTTCAACTTTATAATTCCACACTGAATAATTGTCATTATTTAGTTTTTGAATTGAAAAATGAACACTTCCGCCGTTTGCCATTTTTATTTCACTTTAATGTTCTTTAATCGTCTTTTAGAAAATACCTTATTCACTATTCACTGGGTTCTGGGTCCATAACCTGATGGAAAAAAGCAAATAAGCAATACCGCGTATCCAGTTAAATAATGATATATATTTTATCCAGAGTATATGTACACGTGCTATTTAGTGTCCTTTTAAATCCGTTTATATAACTGCGACAGACTGCCTAGAACGCGCTGTTTGACCCAAACAACTGAAACAAAAAAATTAACGCACACAAAATAACAGTCGAGGAGTGACGATGCCTCTGGGCACCAAGGAGAACTATGATCGTAGAATGCCAACAGATACCATCTTGGCATTTTGATAAGGAAATTGTGTGGACTAGTCGATGCTTCTTTCATCAACGAGTCGCCACTAGGATATGTTTCGTGGACTAGCCGAAGCTTCTTTCATCAACGGGTCACTACAAGGTAAGCAGGATAGATTGATGGGAATTAGAGTTTGGGTGCTCCGTAACATTCATAAAGACGAAATGAAGATACACCTTGAGCGGTAAGGGGTTTCTCCGTGGGTTTGTACCAACTACTGCTTCGAATCAGGAAATGGAATAATTGAATTTGACAACTTGATAGACTGGTAAAAGATAGTATATTACAAACTCTCAGTCTAATACAATTGTATGTGTATGTGTGTATATCGCAGATTCTAGATCGTGGTCCCAGTTTGTCGCTCTGGCTAGGCGGAGGTTTATAACCTTGTAACGATGAACGTACTCGGTTGAAATATTTAAAAGAGAATCAGACTCAATCTCGCTAGCGTTCCTTCGTCAGTAACTGACTCGAAACTAAGATCGCTTTATAGTCGCGTTTTGATCCTTTACATATCCAAAATTTTCTTGAAAAACGGTAGTGGTTCGTCATCGCACCCCTTGGAAGGTACTTGACTCACGATATACATATAATACATACATACAGAGCGGAGCCCGTCGGTTGGCGCCAGGAAGGAGTAAGAAAAAACGGAAATTTCTCCGTACGTTACAATTTAATTGTCAAAATTTTATTAAGGTATGGGAAAACATGATTTTCGCGGACGTTTTTACGTGCTTTGTATATCACTAATATCCACGGGAAGATGGTGTCAACATACCCGATTTTCAAAAGTTTTGTGCTTCGAATGTTCTCAATGTTTGAATCATGTTATTTCTACGAATGTTCCTATTCAAAGATGCGCTTCATCAAGTCAAAGCAGCGCACATCGCTGAGCTATATGTACTTCATTATCGTTTGCGATGCGAACAATTACGTCCGACCTTCTCCTAGATGTTAACGATCCGAAATTATCGCGAGACACAGTGGAATAGATCTACAGCGGCTACCACTGACAAAAAGACCGCATTAACAATAGGTTGAAGCTTCCAGATTGAAACTTGTAAATATCTTGTGGACAATATGCTATCGATGTCTGATTTTTGCAAATATTTTCGTACATAATTTCTTATTATTTATTAACCTGTTACATTGAAATATTTGTTGTTTGTTTGCGTATTATGTTTAAATATGTGTCATTTATGTATGTATTATGTTACAATGTGTGCTATCCGACACCTGGTAATTCTTAATAAAAAATGTTTCGAATAAAAATTACGTAACGCACAATTCCTAAAAAATTACAGTACTAAATGTTGATAAAAGATCTTTCTATTCAACAAGAAAAAAAAAATCGTTGCAACTTTTTTAACATAACTGTATATTATTTATGTAGAAATCGATTCATGTTTGTATTCCCTTTAAAAAATTATTAATGTACCTAGCTTAAAAATTAATTAGTTTAGATGTATGATTTTTGTCCCGAACATCCATAAGATCGCATCACTGTGCGGCTCCGCTGTGGCGAATCAAAAAAGGAGCAAACGGTGATTGGTACAGTGTGGCAATATGGCGGCGGCGGCGGCAAATCAGAAAATTGCTACACCTCGAATGGTGCGCAACGGTGTGTGTGGCATGTTGGGAGTGGGGGCAGTGGGTGGATGTTACAGTAGTACTTCAGCATATCGAGCGATGCCGGTTGCAAAGTGCTCAGAAATTTGAGGGTAGGTAGAGAAACCGCTTTTCTCTGATTGGTTGACGCTTCACAGCTAAGCAATGCTGCCATCACGGTTTTAGATAAAGAGAGGAAATGGAGAGTGAGCAAGAGAGCACGACATCAGCACAACGCAAGTGAAATAAGTCACACCGACTATCAATGTGACTTGACTCTCTTTACCATTGCAACACAATTATTGAAATTTTCGAAAACCCGTAAGTTACATCCGTAACTAATGGTTTCTAGTTTATGAATTTACAGAATTTTTTAAATTCAGCCATCCCGGCCATCAATCAATATTACGCTCTAAGGGAAAGAACTCCGTAAGCAACAGATAATTTCGCAATTATCGAAACTTTGAACGAAACTAGAAATACAATAAAATGTTTGCTGGTCTGTGTAACAAAAAGAATGATATTTTGTTATTGCATCGACATTCTCACTTCTGGAATTAATAAGGACGAACTGATCTGCTTGCATGAATTTGAGACCCTGAAAAGAGCCGTTATCATTATGTCAGAACCTCGTTTACCGCCTTCTTATTTAGAAGAAGGCGTTGTCCGAGTTTCACCGATGCTTAAAGTATACTCTGGAAAGTGCAGTTTTGAGAGGAAGGACTTTTGAAACCCATGCTGGTATCTGTAACATACAAAAGATATTTATTCGATGGCAATTTCTTAATATATTATTTACTATTTCCATTCTTGGTTTCCATTAGTAATGAGTGTAAAGATCCCCTCGTAAAAACAATAGCAGTATGAGAGATCTGCAGTACCAATGGAGTGGTTACATCTGTAAAGCGGTCACTTGCCATGTCGCTTTGTTATGACACAGATACAGACCAGGCCTAATTATTTTCTCCTTACGTATGTATGTAAGAGTAAAATACGATTAATTATTGTTAAAATAAATAGTTCAACCATTGCTATCAGTAGAGATGGTGATGAGTCCTGAAGAAAGTTAGAGGAAAAATTCTAGGAGGCTTAATGCGTCCTGTATTTTTATTGGATTTTCTTTTATCAGGTATTCGGGTCTCTCTTCGGGTCTCCTTGACCCGAGGGTCTCTTGAAAACCAACCTTTTCCCCACGCCGTCACTGCGCGGATGTTATAACGCAGCTTAAACCTCCACAACCATCCGCGACTTGTCTGAAATTCGGAATCACGGTTATGGATTAAAATGTCTTCATATCTGCAAGAGAAATTATCGAATATCTATTATATGTACAGTTCTACATACGTGAAACGGTACGCCTGATCTGGTCCCTATCTTTTTGGCCTGCTCCTACAGGATTTTGTCAGAAATGGGAACTCCTAAAAGTCTCGTCTGCAAAAACCAATCATAAATTTTGTTATTTACACCATTATTCACAATATATTATTTGTTTTTATGCACGTCTACACAGGTGTCCAAGCTATTCATGCCAATGCGCCTTATTCGGTTCGCCGTACTTTTAGCGATCCCGTACGTATTAGCAAGCGCTTCCACGTTTATGCCGCATTCCAACTGGAAAATAATTATTTATTAATATAAACTATAACTAAATATACAGGGTATCTCAGCACTGTGTGCATAAACTTTTCTAGTAAAAGATAACTAACCTTTCGGAGAACCTGCTGCTCCATGTTCAAAACCGTTGGGTTTTTTTTCTGTCAAACATCGTTGCTTTGTAATTTTCTTAAACTGTCTGAGATGTTCATTATCCGGTGGTTTGCACGGAAAAGACGTAACATCGGCTTTTACGCCCCTCCGTTCTGGGGTTCGCACTTCGCGCTAGACTTTCACGCCCACGCGAAATCCCAACACCACCCCCATCCTGCGCAGAACGTTATTGCAAATTTCGTGGCCCGTGCCTCGAATATCTCGCACCTCTGCGACGATTTGAAAAATGTATTGACAAATTGTTATAAGTTTTGAGCCATTAGAGATATTGAAATGAAATTTTCACTAAAAATAATTAAAAAATAGTATTTTTAGCTACCCATAGCACTGTCGGAAACGATTTCTGATTTTCTATAGTCACTATGAAATTCTTGATTAAAAATCAGAAAATCTCTCTCAGTTTTCGAATAAAAACGAGCTTTTGTAAAAACCCAGAATTTTCGATGAAAATGAGGTTATATTACTCTGCAAAAGAGACACTCAAACTGAGTAATGCACGTCAATGCATTGACTCGGTCTAATTGGTGACTCCATTTGCAATTGCTTTTGCATTTCCGTGTAAGCATTGATATAGTGATGTTTATCCAACGAAGCAACGTTTCAAGCAACTTGAGCATGTTTGAGAGAACCCAAATTAACAACATTACAGTGATTAACTGATTTGTAAGAGGGAGACGATTTTGAAGTAATATTTGAGAAAATCAATTCTAAGCACCTCAGTATGATACCAGGAGACATAATACTCCCCTATAAAGTAAATGATTTCCCTGAACTAAAAAGACATCAAATTCTTTTTTGTCTTCTGAAGTATATGGTTTACGTCCATATGCCCAGATACATCTCTTCCAAATAAATGTGATACTTCATCTTGTAGATTTAGATCATAAGATGGATTAATGGGATCTAATGTATCATTCATCTATAATAATTAAAAGGATGTTAATTATGTTCATTATCATATTAATCATATTAATAATGATTAGTATTATAATTGGAATAATTCATTATAAATTAAAAATTAAATTTATAATTATTAATTTGTTATTAACTGACGTTAGTATTTTATTATTCATTGATAAAATTAAATTAATTGTTTAAACATCAAGTGAATGAATAATTAACTACCATAAGTCTCTCCAATCTTCTAATCGATTAAATTCACGATTTTCGACGATTAATTTTTTTAATCAATTAATGTTCAAAAATAGTGCAAAAATAATTTATAATTTGTTTCTAAGCAAGAGCTGCAATGCAGTTATCGAGGCAAATTGACTGTTACTTTGGTAATAATTTCGTTGCTTTATGAATATTGCCGTTGTTATACGCCGTACAAACGATTCGGTCAAGAGTGTCGATTCCGACTGAAAGCATCTATGGACGAAATTACTGTACATGGAAACAACATCTGAACGCATTTAAATGCATCGATCCGAAACGTTTTATAGATGAAATAACATCTGTGTATCCGGATTGAGAATTATGGCCACAGAAACCTGAACTTTCTTAACTGGGAGGAAGCTAAATGGATCACGTCATTGTGCCTAATGCACTTTTAAATGTTTCATCGCTTTCTCAAACGGAAGGGTCAGTTTGTAAAAAATAAATATTTACTTGAAATCGAGAAAAGAAATTGTGACTTTGTGATGAGATGAAATTTTCTATACCAATATTAATACAATTTTTTATACCGTTTAAAATAATCCTTTTACTTGAAATTTTCGTGCATTCAAAATTCAAATTTTGAATCATAACACCTCTTTATGTCGAAAGACAATTCTGTATCAGAAATAGCTAATGTTGTAAATTCTGCAATTAAATACCATAAATGTTCACTTATGCTCTTGTCAACTTCTGTATACTTGGAAAGCTCTTGCAAAAGTTGCAGATCTTGGTTTGGAACATTTGTAGAGCAGCGTAGCACACACATGACGGCAATACGTCGTGCACGCGTTGTTGTCGAATATTTTCTCGGCCCACTCGAAATATATGTATATCGTTCCGACACTCCTATAGGGCAGATTCTTCTTCAAAAAACAATTAATAAATTATATGCCACTATATTCGGAAAACTTTCCTCTACCTTTTAAGATGGATTAGAACTTTCCAACGTTTTTACTTTTCATGCATTACCTCATTTTTGTCGAAAATTCTGATCTTTTTAAGAAAAGCTCGAGTTTTTCTTGAAAACTCATAGCGACTATAGGAAATCAAAAATCATGTCGAACAGAGTAGTCAACACAGATAAACGGTATGGTTCAAACGCTGTGATACATAGGAAACTTAATGGTAGGCAAAATTAAAAAATATGAAGTATATATTATAGGAAGAAATACACTGACGCTCTTAATATACATTTAAGAAATTGTATTTTTATTTAAAAGAGTAATCCCATGTTTTTAACTTAAGGAAATACAAGTATGTCAAAAATTAACATAAAATTGCTATAACTTTGAAATTTAAATATTCTGAAATTTAGCACATATAATTTGTTCACCAAGTGGCATAATTTAAAGGGGTTAGACTAAAAAAAATCGCAAATTGAAAATTAAAGATCATCCTGTTGGCCTAGCATGTTGCAACCACAACACGAGCCTAGTCTGTAAGTGTATTTCGACCCTAAATGGACCATAAAACGGTGAAGTAACGTTGCAGTTTTGCAAATATCACAAGCGTCAAACATATTTAGATGGTTTCCAATAATTAAGACATATATATATCCAAGTTTTCGTTGTACTGACGATGAATAAAAGCTAATTAGTAAGTACAGTAAATTCTCCCCAATTGTCCTTCAGCTTGTAAACAGGAATGGACAATTTGGGAAGAGGGGATACGATTATTCGAGTCTTGCACCTCGTTTTTATAATTGTTGACAATCGGCAACTACAGGTTGCACAAAATTATTGTACAAGCGAGGAATGAGGGGTTCCTGAGATCATTTGAAGTAACACTTTATATATATATAATTGTTGGTATATACACACACAGTATGGAGTTATAAGGTGGAACTCCTGCTGATTAAAGAAAAATTGTGAGAAGTCGTCAAGGAAGAAATGCCTACGCCGGTGAATGCAGCATGGTCTCAAAAGGATGATCAGGCACGTGCAACGATCGGACTTCTCGTAGAAGACGATCAGCTGTTGCACATAAGTAACGCCAGGACAGCACGAGAGGCATGGGACGCACTTAAATGATACCACCAAAAGGCAGCATTGACGAGCAAGGTATTGTTACTTAAACGAATATGTAGAGCTGTGCTAAAAGATGACGATGATATGGAGGCGCATATCACTTCAATGTCAAATAATATAAGTCAGTTGACAGCTCTTGGGCTAGATTTGCCAGATGAGCTCATCGCGGCAATATTACTAGAAAGTCTTCCGGAGTCATACGATACACTTTGTCACAGCATTAGAGAGTAGGCCTGAAAAGGACTTAACATCTCAATTCGTGAAGAGTAAGCTGATTGACGAGCACAAAAGACGTCGTGGAGTTAAAGACGTAAAAGAGAGTTACTGGAGTAACGATACAGCCATGAAGATAATGCATAAAGGAAATGGAAGTGCGACGCAGAACAAGAAGAGTTGCTTTTTCTGTAAGAAACCTGGGCATTTCAAATCTGAATGCATTAAATACAAGGCTTGGCAGAAAAAACAAGAGAAAGCAAATAAAGTGTCACATGAAAATTCAGAGAATCATTCTCAAGATTACTGCATTTTAGTGAAAGATGAAAAAATACCTGGTGAAACGTGTTTCCGTGTGAAAGCTGCAGAAAATATATGGTTTGTCGACTCGGGTGCTACGAGTCATATGGTAAAAACCATGGATTTTTTCAATCATATAGATCCGAAGAAAAAGGGCAATGTACGGCTCTCCGACAATGAGAATATCGCTGAAGTGAAAGGCATCGGTTCAGGTGTCATAATGTGTGCAGTTAGTAACGGAAAAATCTTTGAAATGAATGTGCGCGATGTCCTGTACGTACCGGGCCTACGGTCTAATTTATTGTCGGTGAAAAAGCTGACAAAAAAAGGCTATAAACTTGTATTTGAAGAAAATGAGTGCCAGATAATCAAAAATGGGTAATTATAGGCAATAGCAAGGCTTTCCCCGGAATTATACCAGGTACAAACAGCTAAAAGGGCCTGCGCAGCAAATGAAACCATAAAAACGAAGCATGGGGACAATTGCCAATATGTTTGGTACAGGCGCTTCGGGCACCGAGAGCTAAGTGCAATTAAGGATTTGGCGACAAAAGGATTAGCCACAGGTATCCAGGTAAGAGACTGTGGATAAAGGGAATATTGTGAATGCTGTATAAATGGAAAAATGGCACGTCAACCTTTTCCCAAAGAATCCAGCAATAAATCACGTGCAGTATTAGATTTAATACATACAGATGTTTGTGGACCTATGCAGACAGTAACGCCAGGTCAGAAAAGGTATTTATTGACTCTTATAGATGAGATTATTCCAGGTATACAACAGTTTATTTTATGAGTCAAAAGAATGAAGCCGAGTCCTTCATTAAACAGTTTATTGATACGGTAAAGACGCAGTTTGAAAGGAAGCCAAAAATAATACGATCTGATCGAGGTAGGGAATACATCAATGAGAACTTAACGATGTATTTAAACAATTAAGGCATCAAGATGCAGTATACGGCTCCTTATTCACCACAGCAAAATGGAGTAGCAGAAAGAAAAAACGGATCATTGATTGAAATGGCACGGTGCATGCTACTCGATGCAAATCTCGAAAAAAAATATTGGGGTGAAGCTGTAAATACAGCTAACTACTTACAAAACAGATTGCCGACAAAAGCAAAAGAAAAAACCCCATATGAGTTATGGTACTCAAAGAAGCCCGATGTAAGCAACTTACATATTTTTGGTTGCGATGCATATGTTCTTGTGCATAAAGAACAAAGAAAAAAGTTGGATGATAAGGCCGAGAAATATACATTCGTTGGTTACTCGGAAGAATCTAAAGCATATAGGCTTTTAGATTTAAAGACAAATCGAGTGAAAACCAGTCGAGATGTAACTTTTCTCGATAAAATAACCGAAAAAGAATCTCCAACTCATACAGCTTGTGATGAAGTAATTCTTTCAGAAAATACAGATTTTCAAGAGATACAACAAGTACAACATCACCAAGAAGAATCAGAAGCATCACATACGCAATCAAGTATAGAATCTATCGATGAGACCGATACTACATACAGTGGACAGATTGATCATGAAACTCAACTTGATCAATGCAGACGTTCCGAGAGATCAAATAGGGGTGTACCGCCAGACCGATACATGGCTACATTAAACATGGTGAAAGCTGAAGATAATGAACCAAGGAGCATAATGGAGGCTTTAGCTGGATCCAATAAAAACTACTGGAAAAAGGCTATGGATAGATCGATTGCTGAAAGACTTTTTAAGGAACAATCAAGAAAAAATGATTATATATGAGGACAATCAGAGCTGCCTTAAGCTCACATTTAATAAGNCTCGTTGCACGAGGATTTTCACAGAAATATGGCACCGATTATGACGAAATTTTTGCTCCAGTGGTAAGAATAGTGGTTATAGTCAAATAGTGGTTATTTGTTTCAGTATTTCGAATCATCTATAAGTTGGGACTGTCGGAAGCAGACATGTGTTGCTTTATCTTCAACAAAAGCTGAATACATCGCTCTAGCTGAGGCAACACAAGAAGGCATATGGATAGATCGGTTGCTGAAAGACTTTTTAGGGGACAATAAAAAAAA